ATATCCCTAACTTATGAAGATGGACTCGACGAGTTCAAAGGTGAACTCGGCGATTTAGTTGAATAAGAGTCCCGACGTGTTTGAAGGTGAACTCGACGAGCTCAAGGAAGACTCGACGAGTAGGATCGAAGTCTTGAGTTACGTGTGGATAGTAGGACTCGACGAGTGGGTGGCCCAACTCGGCGAGTTGAGTCAACTTGGAGCGTTGACTTTGACCTGGTTTGACTTTTGAGGGTATTGTGGTCTAAGTGTTATTTTGGGTATTAATAGTTCGGGGAGCCGAAGGATCAGCAGTTCAGGAGTTGCCGGTTAGCAGTCGGAGGTGTTCAGCTAGTCTTCATTAGTGCAAGGTGAGTCTCCTCGCTGTGTGAATGGGTCTAAGGCCACAATGCTGACCCATGTAGTTTATGAGTAGGAAGACTCGGGGGTTAACCCTAGGCACTGTATGCTAGTATGTTATTCCGGACCGAGGTCCGATGCCGGACGGGTGCCCAAGGAATGTTTGTATGTTAGTTTATACTTGTTGTCTGTGTGATACTTGTATGTGCCTGGTAGGGAGGTGAGTGTGGGCGAGGTCCCGTATCTCACCACTTGAAGAGTATGGACGGGGTTCCGTATCTCATCAGTAGCAGGATAGGGGCGGGGCTCAAGATAGGCGAGGCCTTATAACATGAATTTAGTAGAGTATGTTTAGTTTATGTGTTATGTGCTATGTTATAAGATTGTATGTGTTTAGCGGGCGGGGCCTAAGGGAGACATATTTGTATACCGAGCGGGGCTCGATGTCAAGCGGGACCAGATGTCGAGCGGGGCCCGATGCCGAGTAAGGTCTGCGGCAGCGGGCAGGGGCCCAACATGTGGTTATGTGTATGTGGTTATGTGTATGCGGTATGTGGTAGGTTGGGGAACTCACTAAGTGTCGTGCTTACAGTTTTCAGTTTTGGTTTCAGATACTTCCGGTAGCAGAGGGAAGAGCTCGGGATGATCGCATGGCACACACCAAGAAGTTTTAGCCTGGGATGTTTTTACTCTGATAATTAGAACATGTTTTGAAACGATACTCTAATTTGATATATCTATCTTTAATTATGGTTGAAATGATTGGATATTTATGGTTTTATTAATGTTTTAAAAAGAAATTTTTGGTCATGATTTTTAGGATGTTACACATCCTCTCCCTGTAAAGACACTTGATTACCAATCACAAACCATAGAACAAAAACAAAAATCAAGAATTCATTTCCTGAGGTAAAAAGGATCAAGATTAGAAGCCTTACAAGCAAGCTTAAAAGAAGAGAAATACTTCCTGTAAGCTGTAAGCTGGTTGAACCTCATTTGCATGAGCAATTGGTGTTAAAGGACTCACAAGAGTTTCTAGACACTTACTCACTTGCAGTTTATATTTGTTATGGACTAATTCTTAGATATATATATATATATATATATATATATATATATATATATATATATATATATAATAGAAATGCACCAACCAGAAACAATGTTGCAAATGAAAAACCATTTTAGATTCACATAAAAAAAAGAAAAAAATAGTGTTATTATAAGAGATGACATTTTGTCGAACACTTGGTGGGTTCTTTTAATATAGTTGCAAAATGAAAAACCATTTCAGAGTCAAAAATCATTGACATTTTGTCGAAACACATACTCAAACTGAATATAAATGAATTTTGACTCCAAGTGAATTTAGTCTCCATTCTTCAAAGATCAAACTTCCAACAATAAGATATATAGTAACTTTTGAGCTCTAGTTTTCTGAATTCAAGATTTAGATTAAATCAGAAAAATTGGAAGAAAAAATTAGGAGAAGAAATCATCTAACAGTTGGTTGTCTTGAGAATAGGAAGTCGTTTGAAATATGACAAACGGAAATCGTTCTGTCCCTCGGTCGTTAGGGTGTAAGCCATGTGTACCAGAACCAATTGAAATAAACCCACTTTGCGTGATCAAAAACCTCTGATGTAAATAAGATGAATCTCAATGATTCAATAAGTTGGGAAGAATCGAAGGAGTCACATTTTTTCCCATCTTCATAATAGGAGTGGAAGAGACTCTAGCCTGATCGATTCCGTTTTTGACTTCTCTTAGATATGCGATAGCCGATAAGGTATGAGGAAGAAAGTAAGCTTATTTAACTTGAAACGACGTCGAATAGCTCTTTCGGTACCTCACTTTGTATACACTGAAGGCTATATATATATATATATATATATATAATATATATATATTATAGATATATATTATATATTATATTATATATATAATATATATATATATATATATATCTTAAATGGGTAAATGTGTCCTGCCCCTAACATTTTGTTATGATTCCGCAAACATTTATTTTTCAGTGTGCTACACCTAAATTTTAGGGGTTTTACTCCTGAAGTGCGGCTATTGTTATTAGAGTTTACAATTATAAAAACTCATAGATAAAGATTTCAAATATGTCACTTTGAAAACAGTCACGCCTAATATAAGAGTTTTCCAATTCATACTCTATGAACATAAGTTACATCAATTAAACCATGTTAATTATATATGTCATTTTTATTATTTTTCCTTGATTGTTTGTGCAACATATAAACTTAATATTCATTAAAAATATAAGACAAGCAAAATTCTTTTTGTTTAAATAAAAGGGCATAAAAAAGTTGAAAAAATAAAGAATTAAAAACAAATATAAATTGTTTTATTTTTGCATCTTTATTTTTCTTTGATTTATTCATCATATAGTTTCCCTCTCAAATCTCCCGCAATTTCTTTAGATATCTATTCATGCCCCCTCAAAACCAAAAAAATCATATACAACATTTCCTTTTGATTTCACTGCTTCCCCCCAATGTTTTAAAAACCGGTTTGAACCGGCCGATCGAACCGGTTGGACCGGGAACCGAGGGAGGGAGCGGTTTAATTATTATTGGTTTTATTTTGATTTCTGAACCGGATTGAACCGACCGGTTTTTAGAAAAACTCGGTTGAACCGGTCAAAATGAACCGGTTAAACCGAATAAAAATACATGGAAAAGAACAATTTGCATAATAAATTTTGGTGATTTTTTTCAAATCTAGTTAGTTTTTTCTAAATAAAAACATATGGTAAATGTTATAAACTTTTCGTCAATTAAACCACTCTCTCAATTCCATCGTTATTTTCCAGTCCCATCGTTATATTCTGTCACCATCACCATTTATCGACCCTATCATCGTCAATTTCAAGTACTGAGATATCCTTATCGACCCTATTATTATACTTTATTTTCTTTTTGACGTATATGGATTGATGTAAAACACTAAAACTTATGGTTATGTGTTATTTTAATGTATTTTGATTGATCTACAACTTATTTTTATATGTATTTTTAATGTTTGAACTTGTAAACGTCAAATTCATGATTTATATATATACGTATGTATATGAAAATAGGAAAAAAAGATGAAAATCATAGAAACCGGTTAACCCGGCGGTCGAACCGGTTAAACCGGTTGAACCGGGAACCGGTCACCATACCGGTTCAAGTAAAAAACCGGTTTTTAAAACATTGTTTCCCCCATAATGCGAGTCATCGCAGTCTTCAGCCCCCCTCCCCAGGCCCCAACATTGTCGGAGCCTGATCGTCTCCGCAGTTTCTTAACACCGCAAGGAACATATTTTCGTCAATTAAACCACTCTCTCAATTCCATCGTTATTTTCCAGTCCCATCGTTATATTCTGTCACCATCACCATTTATCGACCCTATCATCGTCAATTTCAAGTACTGAGATATCCTTGTGGGCGATTAGCTGTTTTCTTGATTTTTAGATTGGAATCTAGGGTTCATAAGGTAAATAATTGTTTTTGATTATTCATAATCTAGGGTTCATGTGCTTTACTTCTGTTATTGTTCGAAATCTAGTTTCCATACACCTTTTAATGGGTTTCTGCATACCGATATCTCCTTTTATTCCCCAAAAGGTTATACAAAATGCCTTCTATAGCATCGGTTCTGAGGTCTATTTTTCCCCTTAATGAAAAGAAATGTGGCTTTAAAAAATGATTTTGGAATAAGATTAAATCTCTTAATTATTATATTCTAGATACCATATTCCAACATGTTATCATCTTTTTTTTTTTTTTGAGGAAGAGTAAAGAAATGTTCATTGCAGTGTCTCTTTCAAAATAAAATGTATTTATGGATAAGATCTCATATTCTTTTCTTTGTAAATCTTTTGCACGCAAGATAACACATTCTACTTATAAATTTCTCTATTATATACTTGATTAAACAAATTTATAAATTAGAGTCAATTCTGTTATCAAATTTTACTCAACTATATGAATTATTTTACTTTCTTTCATCTATGATCAAATTAACTAACATTTTTGGTATAAACCTTGTCTGAAATCACATTTAAACCTCTAACATACGGGTTGCATGTCGCTCTCTTGATCCAAACTAGAGATTGGAATGGTTGTTGGAAGCCTGCTTGGACTTAGAAATATTTGTGTTTGGTCATCTGGAACCCTTTAAATGTTTTCTCTAACTTTTTCTTTTACAAAAACCTTTAATATTATGGACAACTTTTTTGATATTGTATCTTCAATTATCTCGCACCTTTCATATATGAAAACAACATTATGGATACAACGCTCATTGCAACATGTACTAACGCTTTTAGTGTGTTTGTTTATGCTCCGTTAGAAGATTAATTTTCAGTTATAAAGTCGATAAATAATTCATAGTATATATGTGCTTGTTTGTTGAAGCATATTCAATTAATAACATTACAAATTAACAAAAGTTCACATAAGCACGTTACACATTTCGTGGTGCAAAATAGGTAAACGTTCCATGGTGCAAAATGCTTCCTACTGGCTAGTGGCAAATGGCGATAACCAAGACTTTTCATTATCAAGGAAACAATCTTTTTATCTGTATAACCCTAACTACTTTTATAATTTATAAAAGAGCATAAATAAGAAAGGATCTCACTAAACATGAAAGTAAACCTATCAACCACCATGTTCACCTTCCCTTTACCACTCTTTTCTTTCCTCCTCTTCTCCATCACCACCACCACCACCACCGCCGCCCAACCATACAAACCCACCGACTACTTCCTCCTCAATTGCGGTGGTGCAACCGCCACTACTGACCGGAAATGGGACCCGATGAACGTTCTGAATTCATGCCCTCCACCACCCCCTCCTTCACATCTGCCCCAAACAACCGCGACCCTTCCGTCCCGGAAATCCCGTACTCCACTGCACGAATCTTCAAAAACATCATTCACCTACACTTTTCCGGTGACCAACGGCCCTAAATTCCTCCGCCTCTATTTCTACCCCGCCACCTACTCCCACCACAACGCCGACCAATCTTTCTTTTCGGTATCATCCAACGGTTACTCTCTCTTATCCAACTTCATCGCTTTCCAAACCTCGTCCTACTTGCGAACCAGAATCACCCATTCCAATAAGGTTCCCCACTTTGTAAAAGAATTCATCATCTATGTAAACCACACCGAAACCATAAACATCACTTTCACCCCCTCACCCGAATCATATGCGTTCATTAACGGTATCGAAATTGTTTCACAACCGGAAAACTTATATTATAAATCCAAAAATGTGAAATACGTAGGTCAATATTCTGGACCAGTAATCTCAGAGGACACGTGTCTGGAGAATATTTACCGGTTAAACGTCGGTGGGGAGCTGATCTCCCCCATCCTTGATACCGGGATGTATCGATCGTGGGATCAAGACGATCCATATTTGTTCCCAGTTCGAACAGTAACCCCGGTTAACAAGACTCCGATAGTCTACAAAGCTGACACACCGAATTATACAGCACCTGAGTTAGTTTATGCTACGCAAAGAAGCATGGGTGCTTTTTCTGAAAATCGCAATCTGACGTGGCAGCTTCCGGTTGATTCTGGGTTTTATTACAACCTTAGGCTCCACTTTTGTAATATTATACCGCAATACAGGAGGGAATTTGCGGTATTTTTTAAAATTTATATTACGAATCAAACGGCTGAAGACGAGGCAGATCTGTTTTACTGGACTCAAGGTACTTGGTCTCCTGTGTTTAAAGATTATGGGGTATTTGTGTATGATTTTGATGGTAGTGGAAGAAAGCGAGATTTGTGGCTCGCGATGGGTCCTAACTATGACTTGACAGAATACCCTGATGCATTTTTGAACGGTTTGGAAGTTTTCAAGCTTAGCATGAATGGTAGTCTCACTGATCGCGACTCGGAGCTCCGCCCTACAGTACCACCGCCGCCGTCATCTCCCGTGAAAAACAAAACTCCGTCGTATGCCGCCATAATAGGCGGTATTGGCGGAGCAGTAGTACTCATGCTGTCAACTTTAGGTTTTATCGTTTTCCGGCGAGTGAAGCACTCCGGTGACAAGTCATCCGGTGAGCAAAAATCAAAAGATAACCGCCTTCCGTCAGGTAGGTGTCGGCGGTTTACAATCAAGGAAGTGAAAGATGCCACCAGAGAATTTGATAAAAATTATATAATCGGGAGAGGAGGGTTTGGGATGGTGTACAAAGGGTACATCGACAATGCTACAACAACTGTCGCAATCAAACGACTAAACGCGTTATCCAAACAAGGTTTTCACGAATTCCAAACGGAAATTGGGTTGCTGTCAAAATTACGTCATGTCCAACTTGTGTCCTTAATTGGGTACTGTGACGACGAGGGCGAAATGGTTCTTGTGTATGATTACATGTCTCATGGGACATTACAAGATCATTTATATAAAGGAAACAACCCTAATTTACCATGGAAACGACGTCTGGAAATTTGCATTGGTGCAGCAAAAGGGTTGGATTATCTACACACAGGTGCAAATCGTGCCATTATTCATCGCGATGTGAAATCGACTAATATTTTGCTCGATGAGAATTGGGTGGCGAAAGTGGCGGATTTTGGTTTGTCAAAGTTAGGGCCAAAAGAGAAAGGTGTAGATCATGTTAGTACAGCTGTGAAAGGGACATTTGGGTATATGGATCCTGAATATTACAAAATGCAACAACTTACAGAGAAATCTGATGTGTACTCGTTTGGGGTTGTATTGTTAGAGGTGTTGTGTTCTAGGCCAGTGATTATAAACCGAGGTGTTTCTGATGAAGAGGTGAATTTAGCTGAATGGGGTAGGTTAAACTATGGAAAGGGGACGTTGAAAGAGATAGTTGATAAGAGAATATGTGATGAGATTGCTCCTAATTGTTTGATGAAGTTTGGTGAGGTTGCGAATAGTTGTTTAAGAATGAAAGGGAGTAAACGTCCGAAGATGGATGAAGTTGTTTGGGGGTTAGAGTTTGCATTGCAGTTACAGGAGGCGGATGAGAAGAGAGGTGGTATGGTGGGTGAGGTGACAGGTGGCATGTCGGAAAATCAAGAATATATGTTTCCAATGAAAAGGAGAGGACGTGAGTGTAAATGAGGAGTATGGGTTAGAAGGGTCGACTGGGGTGGGAATACAACATGGATTGGTGTCGACTGATAGCAGCAGCCGTGAAGGATTAGTGTCAGAAACGGTATTACCCAGATAAAGGTCAGGGGTAGTATGGTAATTTATGTTTGGATTACTATGGACATGTTTGGCAAAAGTAGCTGTTAGCTGGAAGCGGTTAGCGGGTAGCGTGTAGCGTGTAGCGGGTAGCTGGTAGCGGGAAGCTGTAGCTTTTATTTGTTATATAAGTGTTTAGCAAAAGTAACTAGAAGTTTTTGAAATATATAAAATTACATAAAAAGACAATTGACTAAAAATAAAAAATATATATATAAATATATTTTTAAGGGTAATTATGGAAATTGATTTCAAAAGCTAGTAGCGTTTTGTTAAACGCTACATGAAGTAGCTTTTAAATTTGGAGCGTTTTGTTTAAACTAAAAGCTAAACGCTCGTACTGCTAAACGAAGCTTTTTGTTTAAACTAGAGAGTTTGTTAAAAAGCTAAAATCTAAAAGCTCTCAAACTCTTCCAAAAGCTCCGTGCCAAACACACCCATATTTGTCAATTAAGTTGATGCTAGAGTGGATTTTGATTTGATTAATTGTGTGACTAAATTATGTGTTAGTTGGATTCATGTACAAATGTGCACTAGTCATCATTGAATGAAGTCAAACAGCGTGACAGTTCTGTCATTTGAATGACTCCTTTTATTTCGGAAAAAGTTAAATAGTGGCATCGTAATTAATCTACTATTTAATTAAAAAAAATACACAGGAATTTGGGGTACTTACAAAAAGACAAGCCATTCACTTTCTCAATCTCCATGGCTCTAACAGCTTGCTGCCTGTTCGTATCACCAAAAAAGGGATGCATATCCATAACAACATCATACTTTCATTACTTTGTTTATGGTATGTTTCATAATTAAAAAAAATATGTTTCAATTGGGTTGTTCAGGAAAAAGTGACATAAAAGATATCACAACAAATGGAGAATTTATGGATACGGAGGAACAATCACTACCCTAGTCCATGCCTGAACCACCTTCAGGCTCCTTCCATCCAAATTCGTTCCATTGATTGCTTTAATAGCATATTCATTGCTTTCTTCTCATCGAAAAATACACAGAAATATGGTTAAGCACATATTCATTCACTTAGGGCATGAAAAATACAATCTTGGCCAGAGAACTGGTAGAGCTTGTTTCTATCTTGAATGAACCTCAACCAAATAAAAAATAATACTTAAAATTGTAAAATAAATGGATCAAAAAGAGTACTTTATCAAGGAAGATAGGCAAGACTAAAAGGTTACAAGAAAAGCATCGACTAAAGACGTTTAAAGGTAAAGACGTGTAAAGGTTTGGTTGAAATACATAAAATAAAAAATAGGAGCTTCTTTTATCAGAGTGGTGTCGATGGCATCCCCACCACCGAGATAGAATTATACCATGACGTTTTGAAGCATGCAAGAATGCATCCGTTTATCTATGTAGAAGATGATTGGGGCTTAATATTGGCATTCAAGCCTCAATTTCTTGTAGTTAAATTTTGCTTTGGTGCTCATATTAGGTTTCTTCAATGGAGTCGCTCGACGCTAAATACACCCATAAAGGTATTGGTATGAGTGAAATCAATACCACTCCATAAGAATTTTCTCTCTTCCATTTTCTTTTGATTTTAATCAGGCATAAGTTGTGAACTGTAAATCCCCAATCATCGCATTAGGTCGTCCCCCAATTCCTCCTTTTTCTCCCCCACGTACATGGCGGTTGTCTTCTCCGGCTTTGTTGCCCACGACTCAATCACGTGTGGTGCTTTCTTTGATAAGGAGTGTTATTCCATTTAAACCGATAACTGCACCACCAGGATCTTTGTTCCCGCCTACATAAGTCTTCAGTTTCACTGTAAATGGTTCAATGTTTCAATCAATTGCTTTGAATTGAAATCACAGATAGTTCTTTCCACCTTCCACTAGAATTCTTTGTTTCTCCTCATTACTGCTTATAATTGATTATGTTATGGTGTTTGTGTTTCAATTTTGATGAACAAAGCCCTAAATTCTACTACTGTTTGAGGAATTGACGGAACGACCCTCCTTCTTTATCTTTCTCTCCATCAATGGGAAAGACGCATACATACACTTCTTTAAGTGTGTGTCACCATTTTTCAGTCCATACTTCTGAAAAAGGCCATGGGGTTCATAAAAGTTGAGGCAATGAAAAAATAGTTACATGGTATATATGCATTTTCATTTTTTAGTACAATTTTTTTGTTTTATATTAATATTACTCGGTATATTTTGAGAATGCGTTGTTTCTTATATGAAACCATCTTAAGAATCAACTTGGCTATGTACTCAACTTGGCTGAGTAAATCAACAAACTTTTATTGACAATGATAAAACATAATAAAATTTCTTTAAAGCCCAAATAAGTTACAATAAGAACAACATTTCTTGATTTTTTACAATAACAATATAACCTCTAAAAAAATTGTGATAAAAAAACGTAAATAGAAATGGGTTTTATTGCAATTTTTAGGCTGGAATGAAAAATAATATCAACCCCTGACTAAGACATGAATGCTAACAAAATGAAGGAATCACATTCCTTTGGAAATTGTTTTTTTTATTCCCTTTACTTGAAGTTATGAACAAATATAAATTTATTGTTTCTTGGGAGTTACAAATGTTTTTATAATTGTAATTGCTAATAAAGTGATAAATATTGACCATAGTGGTGGAGTTTTTCTAGCTATTCTGCCACAATTGATACAGAAAACAGAGCTTGAACAAATCTTGATACATGAAACCTTTACTAGGTTTGTTTTTAACTTTAGTGTAAGTCCGACATTGTTATTATTACACTTTAGGTGGCGTCATTTTATCTTTACTGCAAACTGCATATTTGAACGTGAGAGTTGTGGTTTTTTGTAAACTCCAATTTATTATCACCTGACGTACATTCCAAAATATTGCTTTGAGTTATTAAAAACATTGTGTTCATTAATCAATTATTAAAATGGCTGTTTAATTTAGAAAGAGAGAATAAATCCAATGTATTTTTCATCTGGATAACATTTAAGTGCTTCATTCTTTAGTGTTGAGAGTTTCATTCAAGAAACTAGGTTATTTATTTCAATATTTTTGGAAATATATTTTGGATTTGAGTTATTTTTCAAAATACATTTTCAATTAGACACCATAGAAATTAGAAAACACGAGTAACATTTTTTTTGGTAATTCTTAAAACTTTATAGATATATATATCATGATAAGAGTCATTCTACAATTGTCATATTTTAAACAAATATATAAATCAGGCTAGGGGCAAAATGGTAATTTTTCTTTGAAAATAATAGCATTGTACTTATTTTCAATAAAAATTATGTTATTTTCTTATTTAAGCATTGTACTTTCAAATATAACATCATACTTTCATTTTTAATTCATATTTTCAAAAAAAATATGTTTTTTTTCTTATTCAACCATTGTACTTTCAAAGTACAATGGTTAAATAAGAAAATTAAACAAAGGATCCTACTAGATTTGTCCAAAGGATCTTACTAGGTTTGTCCTTGTGGGTGGTTTTATGTGAACCGATAAGTTGAAAATGTTGACTTTCAGATCTACATTGAATAATTTCAGTTTTTTAGTCTTATATTGACTGAGTTGTTTATTTTATCTTATGTATGCAACACAATTATAGATATTATTTCGAGAGATAGAAAGATAACTAGATAGATTTGTCATGTACATAACTAATATAGAAAGGAATGAAAGTAATATGCTATAAAAATAACATAAATCAATATATTGTTTATGCATTTGTCAACCTATCCACCGGACGAGTACGACACTAGTTACTCTTACGGTCTTGGGAAGGGCGGTGTAGGAGGAGGTTTCTGTAGGAATAATTTTACTCTTGTAGTCGTGGGAAGGTAGTGCATGTGTTTAATAGAGTGTTCTCAAAACAAATTCGTCCGTTATCAGGTGTTTTTTTCCTAGGACACAACAACTTGAATTGGTTTTCCGAGACCACCCGAACCTATATTAATCCTAGATAATACCATTACATAAGCAAGAAAATGACAGTAACTAAGAAGATTGGAAGAGTATATCCGGAATGACAGCAACAAAAGAGATGATAAGCGTATTCTGATTATTTTCTAGTCGATGAACAGTAGGTATAATTATATAGCAAACCATAACCACCAATTTAATGGCATAATTAAATATCAAAATTGTATTGGAAATGGTGTTTCATATGGTCATTAATACGAGTTCAAAGTTGACTATAAATTATATTGTCAGTTACACAGAAAGAAATTAATATTTCCAAAAGGTCCTTAAACTTTTCTAGTCGATGAACACTAACACACAAGTTCAAGTCTTACAAAGCATAGAAGCATTTGTATTTATATATCCACTTCTTTTCCACTCTCACATCCATGTGGGATGAGTTAAAACCCGTTAAACTATTTTATTACTTCTTCCAACGCTCCCACTTTAAGGATTAATTTCTCATTCATAGTAAATCTCTTTTGGATGTGTGATATACCAAAGCAAAGGTATCACGGAGGAAACACAAACATATAACTATTTATTCATTAAATAATGGTTTAGGGTTCGAGTTTCATGTTCAAAAATAGGGAAAACCCATTTTTATAAATTGGTTAAAACCTGTTTTCCAACAATCCCCCACATGAATGAAAACTGATCAAACATTTCAAGGTACCTAGAGAAAATCCAATAGTTGAATCATGTATAAGATAGGTAGGTGTTACCTTTTGAACATTCCCTCAAGATACATATTTGTTTTACTAGTAGACTAGTAGACTCGAGGTCCTTGAACTTTTCTTCCATTTGTGTAAAGAATCAATGTGTTTCACATGATTCTCACGGGTATAGGTAGGTTTTCATTAATGTACCCATTATAGTCTGATAGGTGCATTTTATGCACCTATTTTGCATGTTTATTTTCGTCCT